AACCCCCACCCCACCTACCTCCTAAACATGTCTACACAGTCTGAGACAAAGCCCACACAATATTAGGACAGATCACCCTGTACCCCTAACAGGCACAGGGTGATTTACACATAAGAGAGATATGGGAAGCTGAGCTGGGTTCCATGGGCCCCCCCCCCAAAGTGACTCCCGTCACAGAGTGTGCTTTCCGGATCGCCAGGTGATAATAAAGAAGAAAAAAGCCTAAAAAAGAAAATTAGTCTATGGATTGGTAAGCTGCAATATATTACATTTTGTTTTTGGGCTTAACCACTTGCCCTCCAGAGGATTTACCCCCCCCCCCCCCCTTCCTGACCAGGCAGTTTTTTGCAATACGGCGCTGTGTTACTTTCACTGACAATTGCACGGTCATGCAACGCTGCACCCAAATTAAATTTATGTCCTTTTTTCCCAGGAATTGAACTTTCTTTCGGTGGTAGTTGATCACCTGTGAGGTTTTTATTTTTTGAGCTATAAACAAAAAAAGACCGACAATTTTGCGAAAAAAAAAAAAAAAAACAATATTTTTGACTTTTTGCTATTAACCATGTCCAGTAAAAAATAAAAAAAAAATCAAATGTCATCATAAATTTAGACCAAAATGTATTCTGCTACATGTCTTTGCTATAAAAAATCCCAATACGTGTAAATTAATTGGTTTACATGAAATTTATAGCATTTACAAATGGCAGTATAGATACCGGATTTTTTTTTTTTACTAGTAATGGCGGTGATCAGCGGCTTATAGCGGGACATCTGACACTGGGGGGAACTGACTTGGTGTCACCGACATCCCCAGTGGCATCAATACAGTGATCAGTGCTAATAAAAAGCACTGACAATGTACTAATGGCGCTGGGCAGGAAGGGGTTAACATTTGGGGCGATCAAAGGATTAACTGTCTGCTGTTTCACTGCTTGGGCTGTGTGTGCTTCACTGTAAGCACACTGCTTTGTATGGCTCTGCTATGCAGAGCCATACAAAGCAGTGTGCAGGAGCTGACAAGGGAGAGATATGTGTTGTTTATACACAGGTCTCTCCCCCGTCGGAGATACACGGTGATCACCAGGTGCCGGCGAGTAATCACCGTCCAGGACCCGGTGATTGACAGCTGAGGCAGTGAATGGTGGAACTTCCCTTACCCGGAACTGCAAAATCATTTTGCGCACCTGGGCCGCCATGTAGCAGTATTTTTGCTATAGGGAGGCATGAAACTGGTTAATATCACTTTAATATAATTTTTTACATCTACCTTAGACAAGCCAGTACTAGGAAATTAACTTTTTGCCCTATGTAGAAAACATTTCTATGGATTATCTGAGATTAAAAAAAAATGTGTGACCACAAGCACCCACGGCTACAATGATGGTGTAATAAAAGTGACATACCTGACATACCTGTCATATAATTTAAAGCCAGTCCTTATTACTTACGGTATACTTTAGCATATCTACAGAAGTTGAACCAGCTAAATAAAACAGCAACACAAAATCTACTTCAGACAAGGGAATTGAGTTATACAGTTCCTCACTGGTTTTCATCAAACTGAACAGCTAATCTGTTTTCTATTTTATGTGCAGTGCCCTTGCAATTTGATCCTTGCAATTTGAGCCAACACACACTACATTATATTGTAACCTCAGTTTAGTAGATTTTTATCACAGACAAAAATCTGCTTTTACATCTTCTGTATCTGCACACACAGTGCAGTGCATAGATTAACTTTGTGACTGTGATTTATTCGAATCAATAATGACTGACAGAATAACCTTAATAACAAGCAAGCCTTGAATGGCAATCTGGAAGCTCTGGCAATAGCTAGAAGTACTGGTTTTAATAAGACATGGTTATCCAGTGAGATCATAGGGAAACCCTTACATCTCTACCAGGAGTCTCAGGCAGCTGGAAATTACATCACAGGTCAACGATGGAGAAAGAAGACTCAGAAATGGAAAACAGCTGTCTTGTATTAGTTCTGCACACTTAATGCTAGATGGCAGCATATCTGAATGAGCCTTTACAAAAGACTTTCACATTGCACTTGCTCACATAACACTGGGGTTGATTTATTAACCACTTCCCACCCGCAATGTACTGTGGACAGGTGGTAGCTGCAGGCAAAGCGACGTACCTGTACATCGCTTTCAGGGGCGGACTGACAACTCATGGGGCCCCCGGGCAATAGGGGATCATAAGGCCCCTATATCCTTGCCCAAAATCAAAAAAGCCTATGAAAAAAGGTACCAGGGGCATCTCATGGGGCCCCCTACTGACCCCGGGCCCTCGGGCAGTGCCCATGTTTCCAAATGGTCAGTCCGCCCCTGATCGGTTTAGAGCGTGCATGTGCATGCCCCCCGCTGAGCCCTCCTGTGATTCGTTGTAGGAGGTGTATGTCAGCAGGTCTTGACCAGTGATTTCGGCCGGGAAACTGCTGATCTCGTACAGCAAATGGAAACGCTGATCTGTGCCTGTATTTGTAAATACAGGCACAGGATCTAGCTGGTTCTTTTCTCCCTGGAACCATTTTGTTCCAGGGAGAGAAGAAAGAGACATCACACTTGAGTAAAAGCAGGACACTGCACCCACACACGTTAGATAGAGACATTTTAACCCATTGATTGCCACATTTAACCCTTGTATTGCCCCCTGCCACCCTGCCAGTGCCATTAATACAGTGTCAGTGTACAGTATTTTTCACTGATCACTGTATTAGTGCCACTAGTGACGTCAGATAGCTTCAGATAGCATCAGATAGCATCAGGGTCAGTTAGTGTCTCTCCCAGCTAGGGTCAGCTAGCGTTAGAATGCCTGCACACCATCACACTCATGCTATAGGTCGCTGATCACCATCATTACTAGTATAGTGTTTGTACAGATCAATATATTGATCACAAACAAAACTATACCAGTACCCCCTTAGTATTAGTGTTCCCAAAAACGCAGTGTTAGCAGGATCATCCCCATTCGCTGCCAGCACTAGCGTTTAGCCCCAACGCTCCCCCCCACCCCTCACAAGAAGTGCAGTGTCAGTATAATTTCAGATCACTGTCACCTGCAATACATTGCACACAAAATTGCAGTGTTCGCAGAATCAGGCCTGATCTCTGCCAGCACTAGCAGGTGAATTTTATTGGTAGCGGTTTCAAGCAGTCCCTGACAGCCAGGCGCTGTTTTTCCAGTGAGTCACACTAGGTACCTCTAAATTTAGAGTCCAAAATGTCCAATGAAAGGTACACTAGTGAAGAGGCCCACAGGATTCTGAGCATGTCAGATGAGAGCGAAGTGGAAACCTCTCTGACAGAATCTGCCTCAGAATACGAACCAGTAGACAGCAGCGGCACTCTGACAGGTAGCTCAGATAATGGAGAAGAGGTTCTGGTTAAGATCAGGTGTACTCGACCCTATGAAGCTGAAGTGCTAGGATCGCAAGCCTTGTCTTATATGCAACAGAGTGCCAGTACTAGTGCCGCACTACCTTTTGGTGAACTGGCAAGCATCAGCGGCCTAGTATATCCTGGTCTTTTTTATACCAGTACTGCAGTATCAGTTGTTGACATGGCGAGTCCCATAAGTGCAGTACAAGTTGGTGCGGTGCCGAGCATAAGTAGTGTCCGGCAACCACCAAGAATTTGCAAACAGGCCTGTAGAGCCCCTAGTGTTCTTAGGGATGTGTATGCAAATCCTGGTTGACAGCCCACAGATTCTGCAGCACACATAGTTCCCCCATTCACTGCCCAACCCGAAATTCAGGCGGAAACAGCAAATTTAATTCCCCTTGACTTATGGAGCTGTTTTTCACAGAAGATTTGTACAATTTGATTGTGGGCCAAAGCAATTTATATGCACAACAATATATTGCCGCAAACCCAAATTCAAACCTTGCCAGACCATTTTCATGGAAACCTATTACGGTTTCTGAATTTAAAACTTTATTGGGCATAACCCTCAACATGGGCATTACAAAAAAGAATGAGTTGCGGTCGTATTGGTCCACAGACTCGATTCATCATATGCCCGTGTTCTCTGCTGCCATGGCCAGGTATAGATATGAGACGATAATTTGCTTCATGCATTTCAGTGATAACACACTCTGTGATCCTCGGGGTGACCCTGAACATGACAGGTTCTACAAAATTCAACCCCTCATAAACCAGCTCACTGAGAAATTTGCAGATGTGTATATGCCCCAGCAAAACAGCTGTGTGGATGAGTCCCCCATTCACTTTACTGGCCGCCTTGCATTCAAACAGTACATCCCCAGCAAGTGTGCCAGATATGGGGTCAAATTGTACAAGCTCTGTGAGAGGGCCACAGGCTATATGTACAAATTTAGGGTTTATGAGGGAAGAGACAGCAAAGTAGAGCCCCCCGACTGCCCAGACTACATGGGGAGCAGTGACGAGATAGTTTGGGACTTGGTGTCGTCTTTGTTCCGTAAGGGGTATTACTTATACGTGGACAATCTCTATACAAGCGTGCCACTATTTAGACGTCTGTACAATCTTGGAATTGGCTCATGTGGCACCATGTGACCTCAACGGCTTGTAAATACCAGACTTAGGGGGAGAAAACCTGCTTGAGGAATGATGAATTGCTCGCAGTGAAGTCAAAGGACAAACAAGATGTTTTCGTCCTGTCTTCCATTCAAGCAGATGCGACAGTCCAAATTAACACGGTATCTGGCGTATCTGGGAGGGTGGATGTTACGACCAAATGATGAATCCGTACTTAGTTTCCCGGAAAGCTCAACACTGGTACAAAAAGGTGTCTATTTATTAAATTTGCTATATATAATGCTTTTGTAATTTAATAAACACCTGGACGAAGTGGATCCTTCCTAAAATTTCAGGAAGAGATCATCATGGCCCTTTCTTATCCAGAAGGTGCTGTGCCCCAATCCTCAAATCCAGATGCAGTTAGCCGGCTGCATGAGAGGCATTTTCCAGATGTCCTCTCTGGAAACTCAACCCAAAGGTTCGCCCATCAGTGCTGCCTAACAGTGGCCATCAGTGTTGCCCATCTTTGCTGCCTAAAAGTGGCCATCAGTGACTCCTCATCAGTGCCCATCAGTGCAGCCTATCAGTGCCCATCAGTGAAGGATAAAAATTACTTATTTACAAAACTTTATAACAGAAACTAAGAAAAACTTTTTTTTTCTAAAAATTGTTGGTATATTTTAGTTTGTTTAGCAAAAAATAAAAACCCAAGTGGTGATCAAATACCACCAAAAGAAAGCTCTATTTGTCTAAAAAAAATGATAACAATTTAGTTTGTGTAAAGTGTTGCAAGACCATGCAATTGTCATTCAAAGTATGAGAGCACTGAAAGCTGACAATTGGTCTGGGCAGGAAGGGGGTAAAAGTGCCCGGTAGGCAAGTGGTTAAAGTGGGATAAAAAGAACCTGAGTCTAGTCCTAGTATACACTCTACACAGTCCTTGTACCCCCAAAATACTAATTACAAGTGACAGTCTCACAGCAAAAATATAAACCTCGGCACAAAGAATCAATTATAAAACAATGTAACCTTCCTTTACATTTGCTTTTCTGCACACAAAAAGATTTCATCAGATATCACCGAGGCTACCTTAAAGAACTTCATTAAAACCAGCAACTGTCTACATAATGAACACCTTGGTCGGGACTATGTCATGTACAATATATATCGAGGGCAGGAGTCCTTGGTCAGGACTATGTCATGTATAATATATATCGAGGGCAGGAGTCCTTGGTCAGGACTATGTCATGTACAATATATATCGAGGGCAGGAGTCCTTGGTCAGGACTATGTCATGTGCAATATATATCGAGGGCAGGAGTCCTTGGTCAGGACTATGTCATGTGCAATATATATCGAGGGCAGGAGTCCTTGGTATGGACTGTGTCATGTGCAATATATATCGAGGGCAGGAGTCATTGGTATGGACTATGTCATGTACAATATATATCGAGGGCAGGAGTCCTTGGTCAGGACTATGTCATGTACAATATATATTGAGGGCAGGAGTCCTTGGTCAGGACTATGTCATGTACAATATATATAGAGGGCAGGAGTCCTTGGTCAGGACTATGTCATGTACAATATATATAAAGGGCAGGAGTCCTTGGTAAGGACTATGTCATGTACAATATATATCGAGGGCAGGAGTCCGCAGAAGAGATGCCCATAGAGTCATCTTTTTTTTTTTCTTTTAGCCAGTGAGCTGGATTCCTCCAAGTGAGGTGGATGAAGGAATCCACCCTGCTGTGCTATTGTATTCTGACAGCTCTGCTAACAAAATACATTGATTAGTGGCTGCAGCTGAAGATCAAGAAAAGTTTTCCAACACTCCTGTTCAACAAAAGACAAGCGAAGATGGCCATACATAGACCAAAATTCAGCCGCTACTTTCTGAACTGGCCAAATTGTGATCCATCTATAGCCATCTTAGGTAATATAAAACAGCATATAGAGTGCAGCAGTGAGGATTAGAGGGAGGAAGTAACTGAAGCAAAATGAAAGGGGGGGGGAGTGAAGGGGGGGAGAGGGTGGAGGGAAAGAGGGAGGAGAAATATAGAGCAAAGGGTGTATGAGAGAGTGATAGGGGGGAGATGGGAGGGAGGGGAAGCGGGGAGAGAGAGATAGGGGGGGAGCGGGGAGAGAGAGAGAGGGGGGAGATGGGAGGGAGGAGAAGCGCGGAGAGGGGAGAGATAGGGGGGAGATAGGGGGGAGATAGGGAGGGAGGGGAAGCAGGGAGAGAGAGAGATGGGGGGAGATGGGAGGGAGGGGAAGCGGGGAGAGAGAGAGATAGGGGGGAGATGGGAGGGGAAGCGGGGAGAGAGAGAGGAGAGACAGGGGGAGATGGGAGGGAAGGGAAGCGGGGAGAGAGAGAGCTAGGGGGGAGATGGGAGGGAGGGGAAGCGGGGAGAGAGAGAGAGACAGGGGGGGGGATGGGGGAGGGAGGGGAAGCGGGGAGAGAGAGCTAGGGGGGAGATGGGAGGGAGGGGAAGCGGGGAGAGAGAGAGCTAGGGGGGAGATGGGAGGGAGGGGAATCGGGGAGAGAGAGATCTAGGGGGGAGATGGGAGGGAGGGGAAGCGGGGAGAGAGAGAGATAGGGGGGAGATGGGAGGGAGGGGAAGCAGGGAGAGAGAGGCAGGGGGAGATGGGAGGGAGGGGGAGTGAGGAGAGAGAGAGAGAGACGGGGACAAGGGGGGGAGGGGGAGCAGGGAAAGAGAGAGACAGGGGGAGATGGGAGGGAGGGGAAGCGGGGGGAGAGAGAGAGACAGGGGGAGATGGGAGGGAGGGGGAAGCGGGGAGAGAGAGTGATGGGGGGAGATGGGAGGGGGGAAGCAGGGAGAGAGAGACAGGGGGAGATGGAAAGGAGGGAAAGCGGGGAGAGAGAGTGATAGGGGGGAGATGGGAGGGAGGGGAAGCAGGGAGAGATAGAGAGACAGGTGGAGAAGGGAGGGAGGGGAAGCGGGGAGAAAGAGAGACAGGGGGGAGATGGGAGGGAGGGGAAGTAGGGAGAGATAGAGAGACGGGGAGAAGGGAGGGAGGGGAAGCGGGGGGAGAGAGAGACAGGGGGAGATGGGAGGGAGGGGAAGCAGGGGCAGAGAGAGACAGGAGGGAGGGGAAGTGGGGAGAGAGAGTGATAGGGGGGAGATAGGGCGGGAGCGGAAGCGGGGAGAGAGAGACAGAAGGAGATGGGAGGGAGGGGAAGTGGGGAGAGAGAGACAGGAGGAGATGGGAGGGAGGGGAAGCGGGGAGAGAGAGTGATATAGGGGGGAGATAGGGAGGGAGGGGAAGCGGCAGTCTTTTTCAATCAGAACAGCAGAGGGAGGGACATCTGCAAATGCCAAGGGGATAGGATGGGAGGAAGTGGGGCAGATTCAGCCTCCTCCATCCTATGCATCCAGCACACTGTGCTGAGCACTGCTGATCCTGTGTCTCACTCTGTCTTACTGACAGGATTGGTGTAAGGCCTTGTTCACACTTTACTAAATTTCTAACTCTTAACAAATGTACCTATAGTGTTAGTATGGGTGTTAGACAGGTGTTAATGAGCTTTTGTATGGGCATTAGACTGGCGTTTTAAAATTGTTGAAACGCTCTCCAAATGCCCTATGTGTGGTTTTTTAAGTGTTTTATAAGTGTTTTACAAGCATTAAAACTGCACCACAAATGCCCATAATAAACTGTAATGTTATTAATGCACCGCAACAACACTGAAAACGCCCCACAAACGCCTGTCAGCGCGTTTGCAGAGCGTCACCATAGACTTGAATGGGAGGAGTTGAAAGGCTGCAAACACTTGACTTAAGGCTTCAATTTTGAAGCGACATGAAGCTAATACTTCATGTTTTGATAATGTGAACAGCACTATGTACTAGGGGTGGTCCATTTGGAAACTCGGGCGCTGCCCGAGGGCCCGGGGTCGGTAGGGGGCCCCATGAGATGCCCTTGGTACCTTTTTCATAGGCTTTTTTGAGTTTGGGCAAGGACACAGGGGCCCCATGATCCCCTATTGCCCGGTGGCCCCATGAGTTGTCAGTCCGCCCCTGCTGTGTACTGTCCATAGTACACATTGGAGCATTAAAAACACCGCTCAAACATCTGCTGTCAGTGCCAATGAACTAGGCCTAACACTCCAGTCACATCAGGTGTGACTTGGCATGCGATTTGCATGCCATGCGACTTGCCAATCATATGCCAAGTCGCACCCTATTGTCCACAATTACAGTGGTCAGATCGATGCAGTTCTGACTTTGTCGGAGCAGCATCAATTTCTAAAGTAGTGCCTGTACTTTTGGTGCGATTTGCATAGACATCTGTGTCAGATGTCTTACAAATTGCACTTGAAATCGGCATGTCCTCCAACTTCGAAATCGAGCAACTTCACTGTAAGTCGCAGGATTTCAAAGTCGGGCTTGATGTGACCGGGGTGTTAGTGAGATAACAAGTAATAGGATGTGTCACTGGTTCTTGGGGAGTGCCATTCAAATCTGGGGGGGGGGGGGGGGCTTGATAAAGGAGCAAGGGGATGGGAGGAAGTTGATATGGGAAGATAGCAGAGATAGGGAAAGGGCTACTCAGGTGGAAATGAAGTGGTTAAACGGATACTGAATTAAGTCTAGAAATGAACAGCTATTTATAATGCAGAAGACATAAAGTGGAGGGCATTGGCCAAATACTTCATATTTCCTTGCATACCCCCTTTCTGATTCCCCTTTGCTTGACCATGCATCATAAAACCAAATCAAGGTCTTATGATACATGACCAAGCAAAGGGAAACCAAGGGAAAGTAAGCAGCCACTTTAAAATGCAACACTGAAGGATCTGACTAACACCATTCCAGTCTGTAGTCTCTGCTTTAACCACTTGCCCTCCAGAAGATTTCCTGACTAGGCCATTTTTTGCGCCACGGCGCTGCATTATTTTAACTGACAATTGCGCGCCCATGCAATGCTGCAAGCAAATTAAATGTATGTCCTTTTTTCCCCACGAATTGAACTTTCTTTCGGTGGTATTTGATTGCCTGTGCATTTTTTATTTTTTGCGCTATGAAAAAAAAGCAAGACTGACAATTTAGAGAAAATGTTTTGACTATTAAACATGTCCAGTAAAAAAATTTAAAAAATCTAATTTCATCATAAATTTACACCAAAATGTATTCTGCTACATGTCTTTGCTGAAAAAAATCCCAATACATGTAAATTACTTGGTTTATGTGAAAGTTATAGCATTTACAAATGGCAGTATAGATACAGGGATTTTTTTTTTTTTTTTTTATTATTATTAGTAATGGAGGCAATCAGCGACTTATAGCAACTTATAGCAGGACTGCGGTGGACATTCTGACACTGGGGGGATCTGACTTGGTATCACTGACATCCCCAGTGATTGTATTGCTCTGTATTGCTCTGTATTGCACACAGTTAACCCTTTGATCGCCCCAGCTGAACCCCTTCCTGCCCATGGTCAGTACAGTGTCAGTGCTTTTTAATAGCACTGATCACTGTGTTAGTGTAACTGGGGATGTCAGTGACAGTTAGTTCTCCCCAGTGTCAGAATCCCCACTGCAGTCCCACTATAAGTTGCTGATCACTGCCATTACTAGTATAAAAAAAATTTCTGTATATATACCGCCATTTGCAAACGCTATAGCTTTCACGTAAACCAATTAATTTGCACGTATTGGGATTTTTTTTAGCAAAAATATGTAGCAGAATACATTGTGGCTTAAATTTATGATGAAATTTGATTTTTTAAAAAATTTTTTTACTGGACATGTTTAACCGCCTCCCGCCCACCATATAAGGTAATGACGGGTGCAAGACGGTTCTCTCGTTCTGGGATGTCCTCCCACTCTAACCGCGCATGCGCGGCTCCGGGGGTGTGCAGCGGACACAGCGTATCACCGATCAATGGAAAGAGCCGAAGATGTCAGCTCGGTCATGTGGTCAGCTGTGTCCCATCACAGCTCATCGCATGTAAATACAGTAGGTTAAATGCCAGTTATCAGCATTTCTCTCCTCACGAGCTGAGACGCTGCCGGTAATCGGCATCCCTCAGAGGGGACATGTACACTGATCATCAGGGCACTGATGATCAGTGTGCGTGCCCTGATGATCAGGGTAGCGCCAGCAATGCCACCTGTCAGTGTCCATCAATGCCAGCTGTCAGTGCTCATCAATGCCACCTGTCAGTGCCTCATCAATGCCACATATCAGTGCCTACCAGTGCACATAAATGCCACATATCAGTGCCCATCTGAGCTGCCTTTCAGTGTTACCTATCAGTGCCAGTCAGTGCCACCTATCAATGCCAGTCAGTGCCACCTATCAGTTCTGCCTATCAGTACCAGCCAGTGCCGCCTATCAGTGCGCATCAGAGCCGCCTGTCAGTGCTGCTTATCAGTGCCACCTAACAGTGCCAGTCAGTGCCGCCCATCAGTGCCAGTCAGTGCTGCCTATCAGTGCCATCTATCAGTGGTGCCTTTCAGTGCCCATCAGTGATGCCTGTCAATGCCCATCAGTGCAGCCTCATTAGCGCACATCAGTGAAGGAGAAAAATCACTTATTTACTAAATTTTATAACAAAAACTAACAAAAAAACTTTTTTTTTTTCAAAATTTTCAGTGGTTTTTGGTGTGTTTAGCAAAAAATAAAAAACTCAGATGTGATTAAATACCACCAAGAGAAAGCTCTATCTGTCTCAAAAAAATGATAAAAATTTCATATGGGTACAGTGTTGCATGACCGCGTAATTGTCATTCAAAGTGCGACAGCATTGAAAGCTGAAAATTGGCCTGGGCAGGAAGGGGGTATAAGCAAAAAGTTAAAAATATTTTTTTTTCAAAATTGGCAGTCTTTTTTTGCTTATAGCACAAAAAAATAAAAACGCACAGGCGATCACATACAACCAAAAGAAAGTTCTTTTTGCAGGTAGGTAGGTGGTCTTTTTCCTTTTCCTAGGGGGCCCAATCAGGTACCAATGGTCACACCTGGACACAGCTACGAGATCTCGGAAAGTGAATGCACTCATGTCACCTCAGTTGTGATTGCAAACACTTCAGTTTTATTGGCATAACATCAAGGTTTTTATACTGTAGCCTTTGGGCAGGTACACCTTCAGGCCATCCAATCAAATTCATCTACATTATTTTTACCTTAGCTCAACAATTATTTCTATGAGGTCTGCATTTACACTCTTCTGCCTTATCTGTCACACCATATCTGGTCTAACGCGCAGACCATGTCTTTAATATGACCCAACGCCCAAGCTGTGGTTACAATTTTTCAGAAATGAGAGTAAAGCTTATCTCCTTTTTTGTAAAGTTTGCAAAAACTCACTCATTTCTACATGAAGCTGCCATAGACAGTTTTGTTAGTGTGTACAAATTTCATATATATGTATGTTAAACAAGCATCTTGTATTAGTGTATACAAAATGGATTCAGTTATATTCCATTAATCTTTTCAGTCCCCTCTTTTATCAATGACTTACTCTCCCTATCGTCTTAATCTCATGCATTTCCTCATATTTTGGAAGCAAAAACATTTCCTCCCTTTCCTTCTCATTAATTCTCATTTTGATACACATAATCATTCGGTATAACAGATATCTCATAAAAATCAGTAAGACAAACATAATCATGAGGGAGATCAATTTTCTAAAGCTGCTGAATATGTTCCTAAACCAGGATCCATCTCCTATGCCCTTAAAGGGATTCCACCTATCCTCGGTTATATCTCTAGCTTCAGTCTGGAGATCCTCCACCTTTTCCCTATGCTTATTAATCATTTCATAGTAATCTGGTATTTCGGCAGTCGTATTGTGTACCCAGGTACAGCACGTATAATCAGTGGTGGATTCACAAAGCCCAGTCAGTGCTGCACCAATTTGTTCTACCTTCATCTCATTAATAAGCACTTGTTTTCTTAAGGCCCGTAATTCTACGTTAATAAGACTTATTTCAGCTTGTGTTTCATTTATTATTTGATCCATAATAAGTGAGTAGTTTTAAGTCTCCTCATTAATTTTATTCCCCACCCAGTCCATGTAGAAAACCATGACCAAACCTGGTCTTCTACCTTAAACAAATCTCTCTTATGTCTATTTTTCAGAGGATACCAGGGATGATTACTGGTCAATAGGACATCACTATGTTCTCCTCCCATAACATCCATCACTGGCACCAAAGTGGCCAAATAGCACAAACCCTCCTGATCTTGGGGAATACATGGGTAACAAACTTTCCCACAGCACACCTGGACTCCCTGAGTAAAAGCTACTGATTGGCTTTTCCATCCTGTGCTTACATTTGGAGTCAGGGTAACCTACTAGGGCTATATTAATAAAAACTCGTCCTAATCCGTAATGTTTTGGGTGATCTTTTTGGTCAATTATTTTTTTAATATAATTCTCCCATTCTCCCTCAGTTGTTTTTGTTTGTATAAAATGACCACCTGTAGGTTCCTTCCCAGTAATATTTAATTCAGATTTTCTGCAAATGAAAACACCATTTGGGTTTCATAACGACCCCCAATACCTCAAATTTAGGTTGGGTGGTAACATTAGTTAATATAATACTCAGGTTACCCTCCAACATAGTTGTGACATTTAGGGGTACTGCATATATGGGTATTCTCACAGTTTCAGGGTGGAGCATGCTACAAACCCAACAATTTAAAACCCGAGAATTTAGCATACTTATATTTAAACTTCAGTGATGACAGGTTTTCAGTTGTAGACCTCTTCTGTCTTTTTACAGGTACAGTACACCCAAAATTAGCAACCACTTTATTTCCCTTTTAAACATGTAACAGAAAACCCTCATTCCATTTACAAGTTAGTGCCTGACTACATTCATTCATAATGCAACATGTAAAGTTGTGTGTAGTACTAATGTCTATTTGACATTGACCTTCAGATGGGCTATTCCATGTTAATGTAGTACATGACTTATTCTCATCCGGTTGTGATGAGGTACAACCCCCCACACCCATCCTGAACTCCCAGAGGGTTTCTGAACCACTGGCCCCTTTCTATCTGATGAATTCTCCAATAGAAACCAGACTGGGACAATGATAATAGTCAATATTGATAAGACAATAATCAGGTTCTTCCAGTCCTCACGGGGATCCAGTAGGATGGGTAGCAGAGTTCTTGGCTCCTTCTTCTGTTGGTTGATCAGCTTGATTGTGTCTCTCATCTTGGGAAATCCTTTTGATTCTTGATGCATGGATCCAGGTGCCTAATCCTTCAGTAAGAACAGCTGTCCGTGTAATGGCCACAATCACTGTAGGTTCTCCAAACTGGGTCTTACCCTTGGATCCAGTCTTCGGATCACCACTTGATCACCTACCTCAAAGGGGTAGGTTGGTTGATCTGCGGGTAAAGGAAAAGAGGCGGCAACATCACCATATTCACTATTCAACTTTTCACACAATGCTTTTACATATTCTGCCTGTATCACCTCTAAATCTACTTTCTGCCACAGAGGGGGCTGCTGTCTAGTCCAAGGGGTAGGGAATGGTCTGCCCATCAGTATCAAGATAAGGGAGACAACTTACTCCGTTTATGAGGTGTCATCCTTATTTCAGCTAGTATAGCAGCCCCATCTAGGGTTGATTTCCTTACACAAAACCTTTACCACTGTCTCTGCTGTTTCATTCCTACATGGGAAAGCTTCCGGCCAACCTGAAAATCTGTCTACTGCCACCAACAGCTTATCTCCTTCTTTAGATTTAGGGAGATGTGTAAAATCTATCTGTAGATGTGTGAACAGTGCCTCAGGGGGCGTTAAATATTCATGTTTCCTATGCTGGCCATGCCCAGGGTTGTTTTGTAAACAAGTAAGGCACCTTCCCAATGTCTTCTTCACTAGATCATAGAGAAAACCATACACAGAATCGTTTGCGCATTTCTTTGTCCACTAACTGTTTTCCCTTATGACCCACACCATGAAATGAATGACCCACACCATTTTGAATGAATAATACAGCAGCTGCCTGTGGAAGTCAAACAATCCCCTCTTTTGACATAAGACCATGTTTGTCTTGTGTCAAACCTCTGCTAGCCCAAAAATCAACTGCACTCTCAGAGGCTTGTGCCTGCAGTGTGCCTAAAAGCTCATTTGACAGTAGGGATGGAGTGGACAACATTACCATAGATCTGCTCGATTATGCAGTTGCCCCGCAGTTTTTGCAGCTGCATCTGCCATAGCATTGCCTTTTGTGACTGGGTGTTTGGCGTTAGTATGTGTTCGCGCTTTAATGACCACTATCCTTCTTGGAAGTCGGAGTTAGGCAAGCAAATCCTGGATCAAAGAATGATGGGATATTGACTTGCCATCGGCTGTAGTGAAACCACGGCGTTGCCAAATGCGGCCAAAATCATGCACAACCCCGAAGACATATTTAGAAATCTGTGTATATGTTAACATCTCGATCTTGATAAAGAGTGCAAGCTCATGTTACGGCCACTAATTCAGCTGCTTGTGCACTGGGGTAGGGGATGGAACCTGTTTCAATAATAAGAGGTGGTTCTACTACTGCATAGCCTGTGATGTATGTAGCATCACTAGGGCGTGTGCAGGATCCATCGACAAACACATCAGGGGCTCCAGGAATCAGAGTCTCCAACATGTCTAGTTGCGGTGAAGTCTCAGCTTGGATAACATCCAGGCAGTTGTGCTCCTCCTTCAATTCTGGTGACCTTGTGTTGTGGAGATTAAGCAGGGAGGACAATAAAAGTGATGGTCCCAATGTAGACGGGCTATATTTAACTGTGAGGTTAGTGGTGGATGTCAAAATTACTTCACATCCAGCCAGGCGTTGTGCTGACATGTGTTGAGTGGTAATGTTTTTCAGTACATGTAGGACATGATGAGATGTGTGTAATACCAATGGGTTCCCCAAAACTATAGTAGATGCCATTTCCACAGCCAAGGCAGACACAGACAAAGCTTGGAGACACCCCACCATGCCCTGGACCGGGATGGGCATTGTTTTGCTAAATATGCTACCGGCCTCATGGCACCTCCGTGCTCTTGAGCTAGTACTGCAGCCATGGTTTTACATGCAGATTGACAATACAAATGAAAAGATTTAGTATAATCCGGTAACCCTAATGAGGGAGACGAGACCAGTGCTGTCCTCAAATATTCAAATGCCTGCACCAATGGCGGCGTCCATTCAATATGGTCTGGCTGATCTTTCAATGTCACTTGGCGTAATACATTGTCATAATAAGAACAGTCAGGAATCCACTTTCTACAATAGTTTACCATAACTAGAAAGGATTGCATCTGAACCTTAGTTTCTGGTTTTGGTTGTTGACATATAGCTGCCATTCTCCTTGGGCTCAGCCCCCTCTGGCC